TCCCCTTCCCCCAACCCGCCCCTTCCCCTCCGCTCCTCTTCCCTTAACCTTCTCTCAGTCCCAAATCCCTTTCAGCCCCCCGTCTCAACCCTTCTCCTCTCCATCTCCCTCCCTGGACCCCTGTCCCCGACCCTCCCCCCTAATACGCACTTGTCAGCCCTGGGAATCTTTTCCTCCACCCCCTCACAGGCCCTTCCAGGCCCCCCTCTGCTCTTCCCCCGAGACCTTCCTCCCAGCAGGTCCCCCAAACTGACCCCCCTCCAGGATTTGGAGCCCACTTGCCTTTCTGCCGCCCTTAGCGCCCCCACTCCCCGGAGCCCTCCCTGTGGGGAGCCACGGTGGCTTACCCGCATCCGCCTACATCCCAGGCCCCTGTCCCTCTGATCCCCACATCCCCACACCTCTTCACGTTGTTGGCAAGTCCCCCCATTCATACCCCTCTCTCCCATTCACAGTCATCCCCCCTCCACCACACACGCATCCCGCCCCCGGCTTCCCCTCCCCTCCTCTTTTTCCGCTGCGTGTCACTGTGCGACGGTTCGTGTGTCAGTGTGGCTGTGTCGATGTGCGTGTGTGTGACTGCCTGCAGCCGCGTGCGTGTGTGTGCGTGTGTGTGAGTGAGAGAGAGATGGAGAGATGGTGGGCTCCCAGCCCACCCCCCAACTGTGTCCATCTGTGTGTCCCTGTGTGACAGCGTCTGTCTCTGTATGACTTGGAGCGACAGCGAGGCTGTCTGGGACTGTGTGTGTGTGTGTGTGTGTGTGTGTGTGTGTGTGCGCGTGGTGTGTGGTGTGTGGTGTGTGGTGTGTGGTGTGTGCTGGAGTGGGTCTGTCCCAGGGACTGCGGCTGTGCTTCCCAACACCCACCCTCCTGGGCCTGGCCTGCCCCTCCCCCACAGGTCCCTACTTCAAGGGTCCATCCTGTGTCTCCGTCCCCATGTGCTCCTCCTCCTTGCCCCCTTGCCCCCGGGGGTCTGTGCATGTCAGGGGCACTTGAGTCACTGGCTCTGCCCTCTGCCCATGTGGGGCACGTGTGCTGAGCCCCGTCTGAGCTGCATGGGGAGCCGCATCCGCTTGTGTGTGCCACTTCTGAGCATGGGGAGGGGGGCTGGCGGCCCTGTGTGGGGCCTCTGGGCAGGCCGTGGACAAGGGTACATGGGGAAGGGCTTGAGTGCGGGGTTGGGGGTGCGCCGTGCACAGCAGCAGGCTCTGGGCTGGCGGACCCTGGGTGTGTGAGAGGGACGGTGGGGTGGGGAGGGGAGTGCTGGCCGCTGCAGTGCCCCTGTGTGTGGGATCCAGTGAACAAGAGCTGGCTGCTGAGCTCCGGAGGCCGCTCAGGGTTGCTGAGGGATGGCCTGGGGAAAAGCATTGTGTGAGCTCCTGCAGGGCAGGTAGTCAGCCAGAGGGAGCCTGAATGGGGTGCTGCGGGGGCAGCCAAGATGGGGGGCGAGGGGGAGGGGCTAGAGGGGTCTGGGTAGGAGGTGCAGGGTTGAGAACGGAACAGGGGAGAGTGGAGATGCTGAAGTGGGGGAGGGGTGGAGGCTGGAGCACGGAGGGTTCGGAGCAGAGAAATGGAGTGGGGAGGGAATTCGGGGAATGTGGGGAGGATTTGGGAGTGGGGATTTGGACAGTAGGGGGAGAATACCAAGAGGACGCAGGGAATGTAAATGAAACGCAGCTGCCAGTAAACGCAGGCGGGAGGGCTGTGGTGAAGTGAGTCGAGGGGGCAGAAATAGGTTTAGGTTTCCACTGATGCAAAAGTGGGTACCTGGGAAGTATGAAAGGGACCAGAAGTGCTTTAGGGGAGCCAGTGAGATTACTTACGGAGGTGCCAGAGAGTGTGGGAAGGATGAGGCTAAAGGACGAGGGAGAGGTCGCACGACAAGGGTGAGGAGGTCGCAGAGGTCTGAGGAGGATGTTTTGGGGGAAAGGGGGGTAGGGTGTGTCAGGGGACATGGGAAATGGGGGGATGGCTCCATGGGGTGTGAGGAGGGCTTGTGGGAGTCAGGGATGAGGAGGGTGGGTTAGGGCAATGTGGAACCTCAAGATGGCATGCAGGAGTAGGGAGTGAGGTGCAGAGAGGAGGGGTACACAAGAGTTGGGGAGAGGGAGTTTAGAGGTACATGGAGCTGTGGGAGCAAAAGAGCAGTTGGGAAGTCCAAGGAGACTGTGGTGGGATGAGGGCAACAGCACCTATGTCCTAGCTGGGGATTGGGTGAGGGAGCCATGGAGCAGAGAGGGGAATGGAGCATGTGTAGGATAGGGGTTGGTTGAGGAGCAGGAACAGGGTGGGTCTGGATGTTGTTGGACCCCCTTCCTGCCCTAGATCACCACTGGCATATATATAGGTTACCTCTGGTGAATTCAAATCTTGGCTTTGATATTTTTTTAACTGGTGTCATCTTGAGCAAGCTATTTCTCTGTGCCTCAGTTTCCCCATCTATAAAATGGGAAGAATAACAGTCAACCTTTCCCTGGATTGTTGTGAAGACTAACTGAATACATAAATGGAAATATATAAAGGCAAAGTGCTTGGAATCATGGCTGGCATTCAGCAATAATTCAATAAGTGTTCCTCGTCACGGTGTTACTGCTACACCCTGGGATAAACTCCAGGTGCTGCAGGGCTGAGCTCAGGGTGGATTCTGAGCAGACGGATATATGTGCTCAAGGTATTTCGGTGCTGTGGAGTGGAGGGTATTACCATTGCAGTTACCTGAGTATTCTCTTGGGTATTGTTGAAGAGTGATACTCACTGTGTGACCTTGGACAAGTTACTTAACCTTTCTGTGCCTCTGTTTCCTCACCTATAAAGTGAAATTAGGGCTGGGTGTGGTGACTCATGCCTGTAATCCCAACACTTTGGGAGACTGAGGTGGGAGGACTGTTTGTGTCTAGGAGTTCAAGACCAGCATGGGAAAGATAGTGAGATCCCATCTCTACCAAAAAAAAAAAAAAAAAATTTATTTTAATTAGCTGGGCACGGTGGTAAGCACCTGTAGTCTTAGGTACTTGGGAGGCTGAAGTTGGAGGATCCTTTGAGCTCAGGAGTTTGAGGCTGCAGTGAGCTATGATTGTGCCACTGCACTCCAGCCTGGGCAAGAGAGTGAGACTCTGTCTCAAAAAATATAAATAAATACATAGATAATGTAGAATTGGTACTTATCCCTACCCCAGAGGCTGGTTATGAAAAGACAATTTAATGATCTATCTGTGAAGGGCTTCAGATACTGCCCAGCCCATGGCAAGTACTCCTTCTTGGCATATTGACATGGGAGTTTTATTGACTATATTGGCTGACATTTGGGGAAGGCTTATGTATGGGGTATGAGGCTGATGAGGGGGCAAGAGAGAGATTCCAGAGGGCAGGGAGAAAGAGGGAGGAAGGGAGGGGTTTGTGGTATGAGTGAAAGAAAAGTGAAGTTACCTCCAGTGAGGAAGGGTGCTGCTGGCTGCTAGGGGAGCCTGGAGACCTGGAAGAGATACAAGAGGAGGAGTAGGAAAGTGAGAATGAGGACATTACAGAATGCATGGATAGAAACAGGCAGCTCTGACCTCTGAGCCAATTTCCGTGTCCAGTTTCCTTGTCCGCTCGCTGTTCCAGCCTTCTCAGCCCCTTTCCTCCCTTCCCCTCTCCCTTTTCCTCCCTTCATTCACCCCTTTGAGCCCCTTCCCTTCTTCTCTGTCAACACCTCTCCATCCAGGGGAGGAAGACGTGGCGGGTATGGTTGGATGAGTTGACTGGACTGTGGTGAACTTTGAGCAAGGACTGTTGCTGGAGTATGTACATGTGAACATGTGTGGTGTTAGGTGCACTGAGGCGCCACAAGGAGGGTGGCGGCAGGAAGGGAGGACACGTGCACATCCAGAACCCTGTCGCCACGGTGCAAATGTATGGATTTTTATAAGGGGAGCCATGGGGGTCCCGGGAGCATACAGGGGTGCTTGTGGGGGTGGTACCCAAATACAGTGGAGCACAGTAAGTATTATTGCCTTTTGCTGGGATGTATGTGTTCAGAGGGCGTGTTTTGGGAATACACTGAGATCCGAGTGAGGGGGAGTTATTATTGGAACATACTGGGATGTGTGGGGGTTGCCGAAACATACTGGAGTATTCGAGGAGGGCTGTTTTGCTGAATTTGTGGGGGCAGGTAATTGGGAGCATGCTTGGCTATGATTGGAGTGTATTAGGGCCACATGGATGTTACTGGGATCTGGGTATTATTGGAATACACCGGAATTGTGAGGGTGGGAGGTGGGATGGGCTTTAGACAGTGCTGAAGGAAGCAGGGCACAGCAGAGCACACGTTCCACTGACTCCTGGGTGTTCTTGGGTATTCTGAAGGCAGTGGGGTTGCAGCCAGGGTGTCTGAGTATTCCTGCTGTAGACTGGGGGTGTCGGATCCTCTGGGAATGGAATGGATGTGTATTCCTGAGGTGTACAGTGGTCATATCAGGGGTTTGGGGCTGTTTGAGTGAGCGTTGAGATCCATGAACTGTATCTGAGTTTCATTGACATTTCCTGGGTACATTTGGTGGCTTTACTGGAAACTACCACCCATATTCATGGGTGCTTTGCATTTTACTATAATAGAATATGCTGAGTGCATGCAGGAGCTCCATTTGAGATGTACCAGGGAATACAGAAGACAGTGCTGTCCACAGCGAGCTTTGCAGCAGTGGAAATGTTTTATATCTGTACTGTCCAGTGTGGTGGCCACCAGCCACGTGCGGCTTCTGCACACTTGGAAATATGGCCACTGTGACTGAGGAATTGAATTTTTCCATTTGATTTTGATTAGCTTTCATAAAAACAGCCACGTGAACCTAGTGGTCACCATAGTGGGCAGTGCAGAATTAGCAATTTTACCCTGTGTGGGGTCCTTGGGAGGTGACATATATATAAAGGAATTTTGAGGGGTATCATCAAAATACATGAATCCTCTTGACTTAACACCCTGACCTGAGGACATCAAGCAGATCGTATTGAGCACCTACTGTGTGCCAGGCACTGTGCAAAATACTAAATGTGTATTACCCCCACTGGACTCCCACTGCAACCCCATCAGGTAGGGTCTGTGATCGCCCTCCATTATAGATGGGGGAACTGAGGCACAAAAGGTTAAAGTTGTGGGCTCAAGGTCATAGGCAGGACGTGACTAGCAGGGACCCAAGCCGGGCCGTCTGGTAATCTGGAGGCTTTTCTCCCCATCCTCCCCGCCGTGCCTGGCGCTGAATGGATGGGTGGATGGATGCATGGATGGATGGATGAATGAGGAGAGAAGGAGTGGGAGAGAGAGCATGTGGGCTCCAAGGGGGAAGCCCGTCAGGGCCGACGCTAGCATACGCACACAGAGTGGGTGACAGAGATCCTAGGAGGTGCAATTAATGGCCCTGGAGCAGGGGTTCAGGTCTCTGGGTTGCCGGGTGGGGGACAGGCTCCGTGTCTCATGATCTCTTCTCTACTCCCCACCACTACCCCCCCATTTCTCCTGCCTCCCTGCCAGCGATTACATCATTAAGGAGAAGACAGTCTTGCTGCAGAAGAAGGACAGTGAGGGGTTTGGGTTCGTGCTCCGGGGGGCCAAGGGTGAGTGCCAGCCGGGGAGGGGATGGGAGAAGGGCTCTGTGACCCCAGAAGCAGGACTGGAAAAGGGGGCGGGAAAGGGAAAGGGACCCCAGCCCACCCACCACCCCACCCCGGGGTGCTGGTCCCTCAGCTGCGGTGAGACCTCCGTGACTTGGGTCTGAGCCCCATCCCCTGCTCGGCCTCTCCACCCCCTCCCCTCCGACCCCGCCGGCTCCTCCCTGTCTGCAGCGCAGACCCCCATCGAGGAGTTCACCCCCACCCCGGCCTTCCCGGCGCTGCAGTATCTGGAGTCGGTGGACGAGGGTGGCGTGGCATGGCGAGCTGGACTGCGAATGGGAGACTTCCTCATCGAGGTCAGTCCAGGCCCCCTCTCTTCCCTGGGACCCTGTGACAAGTTCCCAGACCCCCTCATGATCCACACCAGGATCTGGCTGCCCAGTTTTATTCTCCTTTAGCACCAGGATTCCCAGCCCCCTGCCCTCCCTCCAGCCAGCCTCTACTTTCCCCAGCGATTCCACCTAAAGGCCTCTGAGGCATCTCAAAAGAGTGACACAGAGCTGTCCCCAACACATACACAATACCGGGGGATGGCCAGGCACAGTGGCTCACGCCTGTAATCCCAGTGCTTTGGGAGGCTGAAGCAGGTGGATTGCTTGAACTCAGGGGTTTGAGACCTGCCTGGGCAACATAGCAAGACCCTGGCTCTTAAAAAAAAAATTAGCTGGTGCTGTGTGCCTGAGGCCTCAGCTACTCGAGAGGCTGAGGTGGGAGGATTGCTTGAACCTAGGAAGTCGAGGCTGCAGTGAGCCATGATTGTGCCACTGCACCCCAACCTGGGTGACAGAGACCCTGTCTTTTAAAAATACATACATAAATAAATAAATACTGGGGACAAGGAGGGCGGGGGAAGTGAATAGGGTAGGCTGAGCCTCTTCCCCAACCCTGGGGCCAGGGAGGGTGGGAAAGCGGGCTTGCCCAGGGAGGCGGTAGTATGAAGGGTCAGAGGGAGGGGAACGTGGCCCAGAGGCCCATGGACAGGGCAGCGCAGGAGCCATCCTTATTGGGGTCTCTGAAGCTGCAAGCACTCCTCCCCTCGTCTACTCTGTGTGATCTGGGGGTGTCTGTGCCACAGGTGAACGGGCAGAATGTGGTGAAGGTCGGCCACCGACAGGTGGTGAACATGATCCGCCAAGGGGGCAACACGCTGATGGTGAAGGTGGTGATGGTCACCAGGCACCCGGACATGGATGAGGCAGTGCACAAGAAAGGTGCTCCTGCGGCCACTCTCGCAGCCACCCCACTGCCACCAGGCTCAGCCCCGCGGGAGCCCCAGGGCTGGTTGCCGCTGCCCAAGGCCTTCCGTTCCCTAGCATTACTTCTCCATTACCCTTGTGGGGAGAAACTGAGGCAGGGAGGGCTCAGCACGCTGGCATCGGCTATTCTCTGAGCCCTGGGAGCCCTGTGGTGGTAGAGGGTTGGGGGGCGTCTCCCCCATGATACTGATGCCTCCCCTCATCACGTTTCCAGTACCCCAGCAGGCCAAGCGGCTGCCGCCCCCAACCATCTCCCTGCGTTCCAAATCTATGACCTCAGAGCTGGAGGAGATGGGTGAGCCTGCGGGGCTGCTGAGGCCAGGGGGCCGGGGGGGAGAGGGGAAGGAGGGCTGGACCATCCCTCGAGTTCGTTAGTGTTGTTAGTGACCAGGGGTCCTTGTCCTCATCCTGTCCCCAGTCCATGGGTCGGACTCTGGCCTGTGTGTGTGTCTCTGGGAAGGGGTGTCTGAGAGGCGACTCTCCTCTGTGCTCTTGTATCTGTTTCTCTGTTGGGGTCTCTCTCAGGGTCTGTATGTACCCTCTCTGCGGGTCTCTCTGTCTCCTTCCTTCTGTCCCACCTCACCCCCAAGCCCCATTCAACATCTCTCCCTCCACCAGCTCCCCCCAACCCCCAATAACAGAGAAAAGCGAGCCCCTCCCTCCAGACGAGGCCGAGTGGACCTGGGGGTCCCATTTCCCCTGACGGGGCTGGTCGGACAGCTGACCGCCCCCAGCCCCGGGGCCCAGAGGGAGGTGGGCTTCCAGAGAGGGGGCCCCTCTCCTTCCCTTGACGTCCTAACTCTTGGCTCCTCTACTGCCTCTCCCCCGGGCTAGTCTCCCCCTGGAAGAAGAAGAGTGGTGAGTGGGCACAGGACTGGCGGGAGGGCCCCCGTCTCCCGACCCCGCCGGCGGACTCGCCCCTCCCCGACCCCGGCCCCTCACTGCCCCTCTCGCGCATGCGCGCGCCCGCTGGCCACGCCCACCGGCCCGCACCTGCTGGCCACGCCCACAGGCCGAGCCCGCTCCACCCCGCCCCCGGGGGCTCCCTGGGCTTCATCCGTGTTCTTTGCCCACAGAGTACGAGCAGCAGCCGGCGCCGGTGCCCAGCATGGAGAAAAAGCGGACCGTGTATCAGATGGCTCTCAGTAAGACGGCCCAGCCCTGCTCCTCGGGCTGCCGGGCCCCAGCCCCGGCATCCGCTGCATCCCCGTCCCACCATGAGCCCCACGGCGCCCCTCACCTTCCTGCCCCAGAGAGGCCGCGATTCCACCTCCCCTCCCTCCGCCCGCCCTCTCCCGACGGCTGCCCCGTTCCCTGCCCGCACCCCTTCCCACCCTGGGTGCTGCCTCCCGGGCTTGGTGATTGTGTCTCCAAGCGGGACTGGCCGTCCACCTGGACCCAGGCAGGGCTGCCCTTTCCTGGTTGATCCAGGTGCTGGATGAGCTGCGGGGCGGCAGCTCTGGTCTCTGCGGCCCGGGTCAAAGCAAACTTCATTTCATTGTCTTCCCATCTGTTCATCTCCCCCTAGACAAACTGGACGAAATCCTGGCCGCAGCTCAACAGACCATCAGTGCAAGCGAGAGCCCTGGGCCCGGTGGCCTCGCGTCCCTGGGCAAACACCGACCCAAAGGCTTCTTTGCCACTGAGGTAGGCGGCCTGGTATGGGGAGGAACTGGCAGGGGGAAGGCGGTTCACACACCAACCTGGAGCCTTTCTCTTTCCAAAACCCTCCTGATGCCCCTGTGCTTTAGGCTGGTCCTGGAGGGGCGACACGCATCCTAGGGTTTCCTCCTTTCTCCCAACTTTGGGGACCTCCTTTCCTCCTTATCCCCTTTCCCTCAAATCCCATCTCTGTCCTTTTCTCTCTCCACTTTCCACCCCTGCTGTTATACTTGCGCTCTTGCCCTGCCTCTTTCTGTCCCTCTGCGTCCCATCTTAAGGGTCTCTGGGAAGGCAAAATGATGTCATGGATGGAGATTCCCCGACATAATAATAGATACCCAACACGTAGTACTTATTAAAATATGAATGGTCACGTCTGTCGCCACTCTGTCTGCCTCTCCCCACAACCAGAGGCCAATCTGTGGGGAGTGTTGATAATTTGGGGGACAGTGCATTTTATTTTATTTTTTAATTTTTATTTATTTATTTATTTTGAGATTGAGTCTCACTCTGCCATCCAGGCTGGAGTGCATTGGGGCAAGCTCTGCTCACTGCAACCTCTGCTCCCAGGGTTCAAGAGATTTTCCTGCCTCAGCCTCCTGAGTAGCTGGGATTACAGGTGTGCGCCACCTTGCCTGGCTAATTTTTGTATTTTTAATAGAGATAGGGTTTTGCCATGATGGCCAGGCTGGTCTCGAACTCCTGGCCTCAAGTAATCCGCCCGCTTCAGCCCCCCAAAGTGCTGGGATTACAGGCATGAGCCACCTTGCCTGGCCAGACACCAAATTTTATATGGATTATCTCATTCATTCCTTAGATTCATCCTGGGAGATGCACGAGGTTGTTAGCCCATTTACAGAGGGGGAAACTGAGGCTCAAGGAAGGAAGAGGGATTTTAACCCGGGGCAGCCCTCTGAACCCATGGTCCTGCCACAGCTCTGGCTATCCTGGTGGGGTCCTGCTGGTCCCTTCCTGGATGTTGCCCCACTCCACTGGACTGTGTGCCTTCCCTCCAACACATCCCCCACTAGGCCTACCAGTGCCACCCCTTACCCTCCAACTGTCTCCTCCAGAGGCCACGCTCTGCCTTACTCCTCCCTTCCCGCTTCCTTCTTCTCTGCCCAGTCCCTATCCTCTGGCCACATCCACCACCTAGTGGTCAGGAGTCTATTTACTCTAAAACTGGGTTCTTTGGCTTTTAGGGGGTCATGGATCTCTTTGGCAGGCTGCCATAGTCCTCAGAATAATGCTTATAAATGCATAACATAAAATAAGTTAACAAAAGAGGCCAGTTACACTAAAATATAGTTCTCAAAATATTTTTCAAAAGCAAAATTTGTGATATCATAATATCATCTTTTTTTGTCAACATGTTAGACACTGGCGGTGGATCTTAACAACTCTAATTTCAAAATCACGAGGAGCATAAACACCATTTTGGGAAATCTGTACCACTGTGATGGGATATGGAAATATCTGTGATTCCTACTGGGGATACAGGCATGGGTCTTGCTGAAACTAGCATGGTTTGCTGCTTACGTATTTAATTGAGGAAAGGTTGAGTTTTTGTTGGAGGATGATGAAAATGAAAACATAGGATTTCTTTTCCTATACAAGTGCACAGGCCCCCGAAGTCTATCCACAGTCCCTCGTGCTCTGGAGGGTCTCGTACTTTTATAAAAATCAAGAGTAGGAGGCTGGGTGTCGTGGCTCACGCCTGTAATCCCAGCACTTTGGGAGGCTGAAGCGGGCTGATCACCTGAGGTCAGGAGTTTGAGACCAGCCTGGCCAACATGGAGAAACCCCATCTCTACTAAAAATACAAAAATTAGCCAGATGTGGTGGCATGTGCCTGTAATCCCAGCTACTCAGGAGGCTGAGGCGAGAGAATCGCTTGAACCCAGGAGGCGGAGGTTGCAGTAAGCCGAGATCACGCCATTGCACTCCAGCCTGGGTGACAAAAGCAAAACTCTGTCTCAAAAAAAAAAAAAGGAAAAAAGAAAAAAAAAAACTTCTTCCTTATATGGAGTCCAAATCTACCTCCCCCGGGCTCTTATTTTTTGGACACTGTTTTCTCCTTTTGTGATCTTCTATCTTCACTTGCACTGCAGCAAACTTCTCATAACTCCTCAGCAAACTTCTTCACAACCAGCTTTAAGAAGGAAAGGGCAATAGAGAAACAGAAAGAGAGAACATGCACATTCCCATTTTACAGAAGACGAAACGGTTTTAGAGATTTGCATTCACTTGCTGGAGACCTCCCATCGAGTGTGTATCTAATCAGACAGAACCAAAGTCCAAATTTGCCTACTTGCTGAAATTTATTAGAACCCCAGGATCAATATGCAAAGGGTTTTTGTGGTTATTCTTGGACAGGCGCAAAGCAGAGAAAATCTTGAGTACGTGCGGGCTCCCAGACAAGGCTGAACGAGGGTGCCTTCTCATTTCAGCTCTTATACTGTGAACAAGTGTCTTTTCTCGGTCTATTTAGTGCCACGTGCTTTGCATCTTTGGGCCTTTTAGTGGTGATATCAGTGTTTCAAAGGTCCCCCAAGCATGGTGCTGAAGAGCTGTCTAGTGTTCCTAAGTGCGAGAAGGCCGTGATGTGCCTTATGGAGAAAATACGTATGTTAGAGAAGCTTCATTCAGGCATGAGTTAGAGCACTGTTAGCCAGGAGTTGGATGTGAATGAATCAACAATGTATATTAAATAAGGCATCCTTCAACAGAAGCATGCATAAAACGAGATTATGTATTGATTGGTTGAGGGAAATGTGTGGCAGCCTCCTATTAACATAACTACCGCAAATAGCCACAATTGCCTGTATTTGGGGCTGCGTACTTCTTTGTTGTGGAAGCCTGTCCTGTGCATTGTAGGATTTTAGCAGCATCTCTGGCCTCTACCGTCTGGATGCCAGCAGCAAATACTCCCCAATGTCCTCTGGGGAGCAAAACCACCTCTAATTGAGAACCACTGCCCTATATCATTCTAAGGTTAAAAGATTTTCAGGGCCGGGCACAGCGGCTCACACCTATAATCCCAGCACTTTGGAAGGCTGAGGCTGGCTGATCCCTGGAGCTCAGTAGTTCCAGACCAGCATGGGCAACATGGCAGAAAACCCATCTCTACTAAACATACAAAAATTAGTTGGGCAGATGTGGTGGCACACACCTGTAGTCCTAGCTACTCCGGGGGCCGAAGAGGGAGGATCACCTGAGCCTCCGGGGTTGAGGCTGCAGTAAGCCATGATTGTGCCACTGCACTCCTGCCTGGGCCACAGAGAGAGACCACCCTGTCTCTAAAAAACAAACAGAAAAGATTAAAAGATTTTCAGCCCCAGGATTATCCCAAGTGGACTTAGATTCAGGATGCTACCATCCATATTCACTCATTAAATTATTCAGTATTTATTGGAAGCCTGGGAGGTACTCCCACTAATCCCATTACTTCATGCCTCCCCCCAATCTGTATTTTATACTCTCCTCCTTCTGAATTTCCCTCTCTGGGTCTCTAAACACACCCCAGGTGTTTCTGTTTGTTCCTGATCCCCCAGAAACTCTATATTAACAGACAAATGGGGATTCAAATTCTGACTTCCTTTAACTTAATTTGCCACCTTGGACCACATTACTTAATTTCTCTGCATCTCAGTTTTGTGTTCTGTAAAATGGGGCTAAAGGCAGCCTTGCCCAGTTCTTATGAGGATTCCATGAGATTAACTGTAACACAGCAAACTCCCAACAGATGGCGAACCCCTCAGGATAGAAAATAGGCCAGGCTGGGCTGGGCGCGTGGCTCACACCTACAATCCCAGCACTTTGGGAGGCCAAGGCAGGCAGATCACAAGGTCAAGAGATCGAGACCATCCTGGCAAACATGGTGAAACCCCATCTGTACTAAAAATAAAAAATAAAAAAAAAATCAGTTGGGCGTGCTGGCGGGCGCCTGTAGTCCCAGCTACTCAGGAGGCTGAGGCAGGAGAATGGCGCAAACCTGGGAGGCAGAGCTTGCAGTGAGCCAAGATCGTGCCACTGCACTCCAGCCTGGGTGACAGAGGGAGACTCCGTCTCAAAAAAAAAAAAAAAAAGAAAAAGAAAATAGGCCAGGTACAGTGGCTCTCACCTGTAATCCCAACACTTTGGGAGGCCAAGGCAGGAAGATCACTTGAGGCCAGGAGTTCAAGACTAGCCTGGGCAACATAGTGAGACCCTGTCTCTACAAAATATTTAAAAATTAGCCAGTCATGGTATGTGCTGAGGTGGGAGGATCACTTGAGCAAGGGAGGTCAAGGCTGCAGTGAGCCATGATTGCGCCACTGCGCTCCAGCCTGGGCAGCAGACTGAGACCCTGTCTCAACAAATACATACATTAATTAATTGAAATAAAGTAAACTAGAAAGTCCACCATGACTCACCAGTGATCTCTGTGTATGCCTCCAGAGACCCTGCAACATCAGAGACCCCACAATAGCACATCAGACTGAGTGTAAATCTCTGATAAACTAATTAGAGCAAGTCCTGTTTTCATTAATTCAACAAATGCACAGAGCTCCTGTGAAGTGCCAGGCAGTCACAGTGCTAGGTCTGCCCTGCATGAACCCAGGTACAGGACAGTCAAGAGCCTAACCCTCAGGGAGCTCACTCTCTGAGCTCCAAAGACCCCCACCCCCAGAGGAGCCCAGACACCAGCCAGTAATAAAACCAGCTGCCCACCTGCCCCTGCCTCCTAGAAATGAAACTCAGAGGCACTCACCTGAGTTCTGCGAGACCTCCTTTCCCTCTGTGTCCAGAGGACCCATAGTCATTTATCCTGTACATCCCCCTTGCCTTTTCTTCTCTCACCTCTTGGATCTGTCCCTGGGCCTTCCCCAGGCCCCCGTCTCATGCTGGAGGCTCTTTCTGCCACCTTCTCTGCTCCTTCCCACCTGCCATTTTTATCTTTCCCACTCTCTGAGTCAATGCAGATGCCCCTTCATGAGGTTTCTGCATCTTGGTGGCCTCTCTTGATGTCTGGTCTTGTTCTCGGTGTCCCCATTTCCCATTTCAGCTCCTCTCCCCTCTTCACTCTGCATCTTCCCTCCGGTTTAGATGCAGTGGTGGGGGGCAGGGGTGCAGTATCCTCCCGAGGCTTCTTGGGTCAGGTCTGCACAAAAGTGAGCAAGAGCAAAGCATTGCATAAGATGCCATTATCAGCCAGGCATGGTGGCTCATGCCTGTAATCCCCACACTTTGGGAGGCCAAGGCAGGTGGATCACCTGAGGTCAGGAATTTGAGACCAGCCTGGCCAACATGGTGAAACCTCATCGCTACTAAATCTACAGAAATTAGCTGGGTGTGGTGGCACACGCCTGTAATTCCAGCTACTCGGGAGGATGAGACAGAGGAATTGCTTGAACCTGGGAGGCAGAGGTTGCAGTGAGCCGAGATTGTACCACTGCTCTCCAGCCTGGGTGACAGGGTGAGATTCCCTCTCGAAAAAAAAAAAAAAAAAGATGCCACTGTCTAAGGACTTGGAAACTGGGAGATTTCAACCCTCTCCAAAGATGCACTTTTGCATACAACCTAGAGGAGGTGGGGAGAGTGGGGGCGCAGAGCCCGGCAGATCCACCCTAGGTCAGGGCACCTCTTGGGCTGTCTCCTCCTAGGGCTCTGCTGTCCCTCTGCCCCTTGGTATGGCTTTGACTTTCTCGGCTACTGTCTTTGTCATCCGTCACTGATGACTGAGGGCTCCCTCATGCCCTCTCGTCTCTCAGTCTGAGACGTCATTGTTCCCTCTCAGGTGCACTCCTAGCTTCTGGGGTTCCCTCCTGGGGCTGTGCAGGTCCTCTCCGAGTCAGAGCTGCCCTCCCTCCTGCCTCTACGGGCTCTTCCTGCTTCCCATCGCCCTCTCATTTCCCCTCTCATCTCTCAGTCGGTGTCTCTCCCCCTTCTAGGCCCCATCTCTGTCTGCCCCTCCTCCCCTCTCTCACTCTCCCCATCTTCCCATCCCTCCCTGTTTGCCCACCTCCCTCTCTCCTGCATCTCTGTCTTCGTCTCTTTGTCTCTGTCTCTCCATCTCTGTCTCTGTGTCTCTTTGTCTCCCTAGCTCTCTGTCTCTCTGTCTCCTCATCTCTGCCTTTGTCTCTCTGTCTCTCTAGCTCTGTCTCCCCATCTCTGCCATTGTCTCTCTATCTCTGTCTCTCCATCTCTGCCTTTGTCTCTGTCTCTGTCTCTCCATCTCTGTCTCTCTCTATCCCCATCTCTGCCTTTGTCTCTCTATCTCTCTGTCTGTGTCTCTCTTTTTCTGTCTCTCTACCTCTGTCTCTGTGTTTCCTTGTCTCCCTCTCTCTGTCTCTGTCTCTCTCTGTCCCCCCATCTCTGTCTCTTCAGTTGTCTCTCCCCTATCCCGTCTCAGGGCTGCCTCCCTAGCAGGAGTTCCCCAGCCACTGGTCAGCCGCAGGACATGCGCTGCCCTTGAGGCACCAGGCCACGAGGTGACGGAGAACTGGGCCTTTGGGCAACTCACTGAGGGGGAATCTGCCCGGCGGCCGGTGACGTCATGCAAGGCTGCGCACTCTGATTGGCTGTCCCTTCTGCGCGGGAGCGAATGCTCCCGTTGGTTGGTGGAGTTCAAGTGCTCCCTCGGGGATCAGTGCGATGCCCCATCAGACTGTTACGGTTCTTCCGTCAGTCTGACATCTCTCCTGTCACCCTGACCCTTCTTATGTCAAGCTAACCCATTTTTGTCCCTTCTTCCACATGGCATGGAAGTGTCTTTTGTCAGCTTGCAAATCTGACGCCTCCTCTGTCACTCTGCACCCTCCTCTGTCGGGGACACGGCTCCCCCCTCACTCTAACCAGTTCCTTACCACTCTAAGCTCTCTTCCGTCACCCTGACTCCTTGCCTGTAACCCTGACCCCTCCCCATCACACTGATACCCCCCATCACCCTGACACCTTACCTGTAATGCTTGTAATCCTGACCCCTCCCCATCACGCTGACCTCTCCCCATCATCCTGACCCCTCCCCATCACTCTGATCCCTCCCGATTATCCTGACCCCTCCCCATCATCCTGATCCCTCCCCATCACCCTGACTCCTCCCTATTATCCTACTCCCTCCCCATCACCCTGACCCCTCCCCATCATCCTGACCCCTCCCCATCACCCTGACTCCTCCGTTGTCCCTTTGACTCCTCCACTGTCTCTCGTTTACCTCTTCTCTCACCCTGACCCCCACCCTATCACCCTCACCCTTCTCCATCACTCAGACTCCTCCTTTGTCACCTGACCCCTTCTCTGTCACATTGACCCCTCCACTGTCCCCCAACCCTTCGCTGTCATCCTGACCTCTCCCCCATCACCCTGGTCCCTTCTGTCACTCTGACCCTTCCCCTGTCACATCGACCCCTCCACTGTCACTCTGATCCCTGCCTCATCACCTTCACCCTCACCTGTCACCTGATCCTCACCTGTCCCTCTGGCCCCCATCACCTGCACCCATACCCTGTGCAGGTGTTTCCCTCGCCTTCTTCCCCTCCTCCCAGCTGTCCTCTCCTGCCTGGACTCTGTTCTTGGTGTCCTCTCCAGCTCTGCCCCTCAGCAGTCCCCGTGTGCTTCCTGACTGGTCACATCCCCTTCTCCTGGCTCTTCCCACCCCTCCCATTTTATCTTAGGGTTTTTGAGCCACTCTGATATCTTTTCTCCGATGGGTCTTTAATCTCCTCCTTCCTCGCTGGCTGCTCTAGGATAAGGCCCTTTTCTCTCTGATCCACAGCCTCTTTTGTTATCACCCAAATGGGTATAATCCACCCTAACTCACAGGTGTGAGGATCCAATGAGGACACATACGAAAAACAGCAGGCAAAATGGCTCACACAAGAGTGTCTCCCTCCACTTGCCACTTCTCTACTGCCTTTATCTTCTGGAAGGTTCTGCTGTCTGATACCACACAGCTGCAGGACAGGACAGAAAGCCAAGCAGAGTATTGGGCTGTGGCTGAAGGAGATGGGGGAGGGGGTCAGAAAAATATTCAGCAAAGCAGAGAAGGATTGAGCAGGCTGAGAAGCGCTTAGAGAAGAGCAGCATGGCAGGAAATCCGTCAAAGCAGGGATGCCTTCAGGCGACAGCTCCTGACACCTGCTTGGAACTGGCTCTGTGCTGTTTGATGGGAATGTTCAGAGGAACAGGCTGGGATTTTGTCCTGGAGTTGCTCCCCACATCTTGTCAGGGCTTCTTATATTGTTTCCAATGAGTTCTTCCTTCTGCAAATATTTATTGAGCACCTACTATATCCTGGACCCGCTGCTGGGCTCTCAAGGTCTCTCTCTTTTTTCAGTCAAACAAAGTAACTTCCTTTACAGAATTTACATTTGAAAGAGGAGACTAGCAGAATTAGGTTCTGCTGTACCTGAGGGGGAAAAAGCAAATAATAGTGACTTGACCAAGAAAAATGCTTTTATCTCTCTCTTGTTAAACAAGTATGGGGGCCAGGCATGGTGGCTCATACCTGTAATCCCAGCACTTTGGGAGGCCAAGGTGAGTGGGCAACATGGTGAACCCCTGTCTCTAGTAAAAATACAAAAATTAGCTGGGTGTGGTGGTGGGCACTTATAGTCCCAGCTACTCAAGAGGCTGAGGCAGGAGAATCACTTGAACCCAAGAGGTGGAGGTTGCAGTGAGCCAAGATCATGCCATCGCACTTCAGCCTGGGTGACAGAGTGAAATTCCCATCTCAAAAAGAAAAAAAAAAGTATGAGATAGGAAGTCTCAGGCAGGTTAGCAGCCTCCATGGTCTTAAAGACCCAGAATCCTTCTCAATTTCTGCTCCACCATCCTCGCCATGTTTCCAACTGCAGACTGGCCTCATAATCCAAAATGGCTGCTGGAGCTCCAGCTATTGCACCAGCATTCCAGGTAGCAGGAACAAGGAAGGGTAGAAAGGCAGAAGGGCAGAAGAGGGCACCCTGCAGCCTCTTGAGTTACCTCCAAGACATCCCAGATGTAACACACAACATTCCCACTTGTGCATCCGGGTTGGCCTTCCTTTGTCATATGGCCACACCTAGCTGCAAAGGAGTCTGGGAAGTGTAGTCTCTCAAAAGGTGCCAAATAAGATTGGCATTTTCTTACCAAGCAAATAGAGTAGAAAGATTATTGGGGTGGGCTGCATGCCCAGGGAGACAGACAGTAAAAAAGCAAGCAAGTGATTATGATGACTCCAAACTGGCATAAGTTAAGGGAGTTATGAACAGAGTAATAGGAGGAAGCCTCTCCAGAGAGACCTTGGAGCCAAAATCTGAAAGAAACCTGAAACTTGCAGGTCCTACCCAATCCCACCCTTCTATCACCTGTCTGACCTCAACTCCTGCCCTTTAGCTCCTGGCCTCCTTCCTAGTCCTCCTGAGCCTGCCTGGCTCACCCTCACCTCAGGGCCTTTGCACCTGCTGTTCCACCTGCCCGGAACACTCTTCCTCTACACATCATTATGCCCCCTCCTTCCCCTCCTCCAGGAGTTTGCTCAAATAATACCTTCTCAGTGAGGCCTTCCTTGACCACCTTATTTTATTTACTTTGAGACAGGGTCTTGTTCCGTTACCCAGGCAGGAGTGCAGTGGCACGATCATAGCTCACTGCAGCCTCAAACTCATGGGCTCAAGGAATCCTCCCATCTCAGTCTCCCAAGTAGCTGGGATAACAGGCACATGCCACCATGCACCACTAATTTAAAAACAAATTGGGGAGTAGAGACAGGGTCTTGCTATGTTGCCCAGGCTAGTCTCGAACTCCTGGGCTCAAGCAATCTTCCTGCCTCTTGGAGTGCTGAGATCACAGACAGAAGCCACTGTGCCTGGCCAGCCCTTTTATTTTATTTTATTTTATTTTTTTAGACAGAGTCTTGTTCTATCACCCAGGCTGGAGTGCAGTGGCACGATCTTGGCTAACCACAACCTCTGCCTTCAGGTTCAAGCGATTCTCCTGCCTCAGCCTCCCTAGGACTACAGGCATGCGCCACCACGCCTAGTTAATTTTTTTGAATTTTTAGTAGAGATGGGTTTCACCATGTTGGTCAGGCTGGTCTCAAACTCCTGACCTCAAATGATCCACCCACCTTGAACTCCCAAAATGTTGGGATTAAAGGCGTGAGCCACCGCGCCTGTCACCAGCCTGTATTTTAAATTACATTCTCCCTCTCTCCTCCCCCTTACCTCCATCTGACCCGTGTTATATTTTATGAATTTATGTTGTTTATGGTCTGCTTGGCCTTCCTGTGGGCCGGGACATTTGTCTGATTTGTTGTATCTTCAGTATCTGTCACAGTCCCTGGCATAAAGGAAGTCCTCAATAAATATTTCTGGAATGAATGAATCAATGAGACAAACATAGAAACAGGCAGTCCCAATCCAGGGAGGGATTACAGTGAGAGGCGTGTGTTACAGACCCCAGGAAAGTCTGGACTAGAACCAATAGAACTCCCTGTGATGATGAAATGTTCCACATCTATACTGTCCAATTTGGTAGCCACCAGCCACAGGTAACTGTTGAATATTTCAAATGTGGCCAGCACAGCAGAGAAATTGAATTTTATAAATTAATTTTAATTAATTGAAATTTACACTTGCCTTTTTGGTTTGTCTGTTTCTTTAGAGACACAGTCTCACTCTGTCATCCAGGCTGGAGTGCAGTGGTACAATCATAGCCCAGTGAAGCCTTGAACTCTGGCACTCAGGTGATCCGCCCACCTCAGCCTCCCAAATAACTAAGATGACAGGCGTGTGTCACTATACCTGGCTAATTTTTTTTTTTTTTTTGAGACTGAGTGTCACTCTATCACCCAGGCTGGAGTGCAGTGGTGTGATCTCGGCTCACTGCAACCTCCACCTCCCGGGTTCAAGTGATTCTCCTGCCTCAGCCTCCTGTATAGCTGGGATTACAGGTACACGTGGCCATTCCCAGCTAATTTTTGAATTTTTAGTAGAGATGGAATTTCACCATGTTGGCCAGGCTGGTCTCGAACTCCTGACCTCAGGTGATCTGCCCACCCTGGCCTCCCAAAGCGCTGGGATTACAGACGTGAGCCACCGCACCCAGCAATTTTTGTAATTTTTATTTTTGTAGAGACAGAGTCTCCCTATGCTGCCCAAGCTGGTCTCAAACTCCTGGGGTCAAGCGATGCTCCCTAATGTTGAGATTTCAGGCATGAGCCACCATATTGGCCGGAAATGCACAGTTGAATGGCTAGTGGCTGCTCTAAGGGGCACTGCAGGCCTAAAGGAAGGGGGTAGCTGGGCCAGGGTGCAGGGCTAAGATGATAGAGCTTTTCCAAGCAGAGCACAGAGCCCAGTGAAAGGATGTTCCAAGCAGAGTCTCGGAGGTGAGAATTGAGGGAACTGGGCATGGTTGTGAATGGCTGGAGGAAAGAGGCAGGAGGGGGTACGGTGGGAAGTGCAGGAAGTGAGGGTTCATCCCAAAGGTGGGGACTTCATTCCGAGAGGGTTTCCTTTCTCTGCACTTCTGGTCTCAAAGATGGAGAAGGGAGACACATGGGAGACCTGGCAGAAGCTGGGGACTCCGGGCCCCTAAGTGCCTGACCTTGGCTGATTCTCCCCGTTACTCATCTGATGCTTGTAGAACAGCAGGCCCTATGTGGCGACTGGGGACTCAATGGGAAACGAGACTGATAAAGTCACTACCCTACCCTCGGCAGGTTTCATAATGATTTCTGTGAACCTTAGGCACTTTTGCTCTTCTGCATTTAAAAAAAACAAAAACAAAAACAAACAAAAAAAAAACATTGGCCAGCAAGGTATCTCATGCCTGTAAATCTGAGCATTTTGGGGAAGCCAAAGTGGGAGGACCGCTTGAGCCCAGGAATTTGAGATGAGCCTGGGCAACATAGCAAGACCTCGCCTCTGCAAAAAAAATTTAAAAATTAACTAGATGTGATGGTGCCTGCCTATAGTCCCAGCTACTCAGAAGGTTGAGGTTGGGAGCGCTTGGGCCCGGGAGGTCAAGGCTGCAGTGAGCCGTGTTAATGCCACTGCATTCCAGCCCTGTCTAAAAAGAAAAAAAAAAAAAGTTTAAATGTTATTATTTTGTTGCTGCAAAGACCAATATTATCCAGGGTAGAATTTTTTCTTTTTTTTTTTTCTTTCACTTCTACTTTGAAAAGAAATTAAAACATTTCCTCTAAAAGCATCATGGGCCCTAGACACTGTAGGTGCGATGCCTGGGATACATCGGCCCTGCCTTCAGGGAGTTTCTAGGCTAGTGGAGGAAACAGACAGCAAGTAAACAAGACGGTTTCTAGGGAAGAAAGATGCTGTGAAGCAAATGGGACAGAGGGAAGTGCAGTCTGGGCAGGGGGCCGGGGAAGGTCTGGCCAGGAGAACTTAGCACTGAAAAGGAACTGTGACAATAAGAGGGAAAGCTGTTGCCGAGGGAACCAGGGCTTGCAGGTGTTCTCAAATGAGGGTAGACCTGGGGCTGACAGAGGAGAAGGAAGAGGTGGGAGTGGAGGGGGACCAAGGGAACAAGTGGGAAATGTGGGCAGAGGCTGGGTCCTGCAAGGTGTCTTTGTGTGGGCTTCCCTAGAATGGGAGCCTGAGGTGGGGATTCCTGTACTAAGGGTTTGCTAAGGGGAACCTTCAGGGAGTGCAGGAGACTGGCTGGGGCTGTGGAAGGAGGTCAGCAGACGTGGTTCTCGCTAGAGTGGGAACCCGTGGGGTCAGGCTGGGCACCCCCGCTTTAGTGCTGCCTCGGACCTCCATATCAATCATGGGCTGTGGGCTGCTCGGGGAAGCAGGGACACAGAATGGACTGGGCGAGTCCGGGACTCTGAAGGAGGGTGATTCTTAAGGGCTGCAGGCAGGTGACACTCCCAGCAGTGGGAGAGGGATGGGATGCCGCATCCAGGGGGAGGGCAGCTGCAGGGGTACCAGCAATGCCTGCCATGGAGGGTCTTGTAGACCAGAGCTGGGAGTTTGGTTCCCTCCGATCTCCTCCTAACTGACATGGGATTTCAAGCAGGGGCAATAGCATGCTTTTTGAAAGATGCCTCTTACTCTTGTGTGGAAAACAGACCGGAACAGGGTGGGGGATCGAGGATGGCAGCAGGAAGACGAGGGAAGAGGCTACTCCGTCCTGGAGAACACTGGTGGGGACCTGGACATGGGCAGTGGCTGGAGGAAGGAAGCAGAGCAAGAGTCAATGGAAAATCTGCCCAGACTGAAGGCTTTTCATTCCCCCAGAATTCCTTTTTGCCGCCGCCTTCTTCTTCTTCGTTTTTTTTTTTTTTTTGAGACAGAGTCTTGCTCTGTCACCCAGGCTGGAGTGCAGTGGTGCGATCTTGGCTCACTGTAGCCTC